AACGACAACAACACCTCTGAAACATACATCGGACTCACAGAAACCGACTTCAAAACAAGACACAGAAATCACACCGCATCATTCCGCCACGCCAAGCACAAAAACTCTACCGAACTTAGCAAACACATCTGGACACTCAAGAACGACAACATTGACTATTCTATCTCATGGCGCATCTTATCATCTAACTCTCCCTACAACAGCTCCAATAAAAGATGCAACCTCTGCCTAAAAGAAAAATTCCTGATAATTTACCGACCCGACCTCTCATCACTAAATAAGCGTAACGAACTCGTATCTTCATGCCGACACAGAAACAAAGCGTTGCTACGCAACAACTGAACTTTAAAGTTTTTAAGTTTACCGCGCATTATGCAAATTTTCCTAGTATATAAACGATAGTCACATGAATATTCTTTCATTAAACCCCTGAAGAGTGAAGCGATTCACGAAACAGGCTTGTCGGGAAATGTAGTTACGTCCTTTTTTCCTCTCATAATATTTATTCTGCTCTGCTTCAACGTATTGAGCACTGTTCCACGCGAAAATCGACTTGCAGACTTCCTATATATAGATATATATATATGCCAGTTGAGAGTACCTACAGTAAACATGATCCCCCATTTAAACTCCCGGGTGGAGAACGGGACTGTAGGAACACATTATTTAGCCCAAGAGCTCAATGCATTGACCCAGCCAGATCTCAAACCCACATTTCTTGACCCTGACTACAGCACACTAACCATCACAAAATTGTATCTCCCATACATAAGCCTAAAGTGAAGTTCACTAAATAAAGTTTTCACTGGAGCGGACTCTTTACGAGAGCTTACCTTGTTCTTGAAATATAATTCCGAAGCCTCTACATTAAGTGGGTCATCAAAATTCAACAAGTCCTGAAAATAATGATTGACACTGATATATTTGTGTCTACAGGCACTTCATATATTCAATAACATGACAAACTTCCAACACATCACAACATTACATTTAGTAGCATACTGTGTGCACTCTGCTGCCCTAATAATTATGGTTGAAAGGCAGAATCATGGAATCACAATATCTATCATTCCACTACTATGTAAGTTTACCAAATAAGGTCATGAGAATATTTTTTTTCAACTCCATGTTGTCCAATTCTTTCTACAGTAATACTTGTGATTAACAAATCAGTCCACTGCTTCACAATGTCTGATTTTTTTTTTATTACTTAAGTGCTGACAGACCGAGTTATTAACTAATTTGGTGAGATGTTAGAAATCGTAACTTACTGTAAATAAAGAATTCAGGCCCCACACTATATCCTGAGGAAAAAATAACACCAGTCAGTGGAAAAGACATCATGCTATGCTTGAATGTTCAATTAACCACTGATGCTGCTGGGAAAAATTAGATGGTCATCCATCTCAGAGGTTATAGGGCATAACATAACATAACATAACATAACAGTAAACAAAAAGAATAGTAAACAGTAAACAATATTATTTTTATAATATTGCCATATGCATGATTCCAAGGCTGTGCTCTAAGGAAAATTGAATGGAGCCCAGTGCTCTAACACTGTGAAATCCAGGGTTCCTGGCATATGATTTGTAAGAAAAACCCAAATTCCTGAATCACCCAAGAGCAAAAGTAAGGCACCAGGGGCCACCAGGCACTGCTAGATCACAGTCTTGAATTCCTTTGTAACACTGGCAGTGCCACTTTAAACTTACCTTTAATTTTCTTGTTGGGGCCCATCCAGACCCATCAAGAGTGTGTTCCCTCAACAAGCTGTATATAAACATAAAAAAATTTTTGCTATTAAAAACTGGATCATTGGATAATGCAATTCAAGACTTTTTATTGGCTTAGCCATTATGGTATATGAGCCAATATACCAAAATCTACAAATGTGATAAGGGCTCGTGTCAGCTTAAAATTTAAAGGGCGCTAAAAATTTAGTAAAATTTGACATTGAATTTAATGTTTTTAATAAAACAATTATTCCACTCGCGCTTGTTGGATATGAGATGATTATAGCCAACTCGGCACTACGCGCCTCATTGGCTATCTATCATCTCATATCCAATGCGCGCTCGTGGAATAATTGTTAATGATACGAACCATTTACACCCTAACATCGGTATGCATATTCTCCATACTGTTCTCTATACATTTCCCTTAATACTGACAACAAGAATTAGCTTCACAATCAAGTGCGTCTTTTGACTCCGAATCAGTTCCATTATCATCATATTGAAAAAACCTCATTAAAATTAACTTTCAATGCACTTTAAAACACGCCTACTACAAAACTAGTTTCGTTCACAGACCTCTTCAGTTGTATGTGATGTTTCGTTTCGTTTCATTAGAAATTTAAAATCTCAGACCCCATCATATAATGTTGCACGAGCAATAACCTGGTATCTAGTTGCACAACAATGACACTAAAGTAAAACTGATACAGTTTCCCCTTGAGGTGTTGCATATCAATCTCCTTGTCACCTTCCAGTGCATTTGGCAAGCAGACTCTCTCTCTCTCTCTAACCCATTTCCAATATCCACACAACCTAATTGTTTGATTCAGGGGTGATGCTGGGGTTTCATTAAGGGCCCGGGCACCGGGTAAGTTGACTGGTGTGAGGACGGTTTTGCCCACCTGGTTTGATGATCTGAAGAAAAGTTTATCTTTTCAAGAAGTTCAGTTCAAAATGTTTTGCCTGCCTGTGAAAACCAATTGCCCTCCTGCTGAAAACAATAATGAAACCCCTGGTGATGAATGACGTAGTGTATTATTAGGAATTAAAATAAGAGGATTGATTAATATGTAAATAATTTTATCATGTATACCTCAAGCAGACTTCACCATTCTCACTTATGTTTGGATGCCAGATTTTTGTTTCACACCAAACATTAGGTGGCTGAAATAATGCAAAAAACAAACTCTATAATCAATTGAATAAAAATGAATTTTTAATAGCAACTAGAATTTACTTTCATTTCTCTTAAATATCATTCAACTGATATATGCATACACCAGTGACATCAGGCTAAATTGTTTTTGTTCCCTCAACTTTCAGTTTCATCTATTTACACTGTAATTTCAAAACAGAATAAAAAAACTGATCTCTTGTAAGGGTGAGGGGTTAAAATGCTTGAATTATCACAAAACAGGCTGATATAAACTCACCTTTATGTTATACTCTTCTGGTATCATAATATGAAATATAAAAATTCCATCCTTCCAATATCCCTCTCCTTAGAAAAAAAAAATTAAATTTAAATGAGGTTAACTCTTCACAACATTCTTGGGTTCCATAACATTTTTTGATGAGTAGCCAAGCCTTTTTCCTATCCAGAAGTAGATGTGTTTCTTTTATTTCCAAGATCCAATCACCAATTCTCCTAGTGAGTGCCATTCACAAGGCTCAACACTAATGATAGCCAACTAGCCACAGACTAGTAGAAATTCAGTTTCAGCTAATGCTTTTTGATTTCCAGCAGCCAGTTTGGCTTGTAAACAAACTGAAATTGTTTAACATCTAAGTTGTCACTAGCCACTTGGCTAGCAAGTTGGAAAGTTAGTGTCGAGCCCTGCATTCATTCCCTAGTAAATTAGACATGTTAGTTTAGTGTTACATGATGATAACACGTTTAAGCTGATAAAGCTTGCTTGTTCTCAGAACCTGTGCATAAGAGAATATATTGGAACCTTAAGGAGAAATTATTTGTCAATCACAACTAAGAGATAAAGGGTTGGGCATGGAAGCTTGCATAGTTGGTGAGATGGTTCATTCGAAAGTAATGCAAACAATTAAAATAAAAAGCAAAGATGGTGCTTGCAAGCATTCTTATGGATCTGCTGCCAGAAGTCCAGCCCATGGTTAATTTTCACATGTACAAGTCAAGTGGACCAGGCTTTACTCAGAGGTATGTTTGAGCACTTGCAAAGAGCAAATAAATCCTGACAGAAGGCAGAGGGAGCTGAAAAATGGGTATGGGAGTAACCTAAAATGCACTCACATCGCATCTTTCAGGGTTAGGAAACCAGGATAAATCTACTAGCTTAGACCACATTGTTTATGTTTATCCCTTCACACTCCAGCATCAGTATGCATATTCTCCATACTGTTCTCTATACATTTTCCTGAGGCTTTTAAAGGGAGAATTTAATAATCAACAGCTTAATCTTTAGTCGGTAATCATATTCTTCACTCTTGTGACCTTAATGTCTGCTAAAGGGTGATGTTGTAAGAGTAATTTTTCACTGGCTGAGCGGAATGAAATAAGTGAAAAATGTTTTTTTCACATGCCACTGGGGCTTGGGTATCAGTCATGCTTGACATGGCTACCAGCAGTGAATATGAATATATAGTTTATATTGCAGCCTAGAGGCTGAATTACGGGTGCAGTGTAAGGTTGAGAACAGACGTCAGCATATCAGGCGCCTCT